CACTCTTCGAGATATGGCTCCACTGCCATTTTATCGCCGGCAAGCCGCGATGAAGAAGCTTTTTCCTTTTGAGGAACGGTATTAGATGTTTTTCCCATTTTTATATAGATTCAGAGAAACAAGAAGATGAGATTTTTTGTTTTGAGAAAAGGTTGACAACAGGATTTGAAGAACTTGTAGAATTGGAAAACATAAAAGAAATAGAGTGCTTTGAAGATTAAGGGAAGTTTTCAAAGTAAAGTTGGAGAAAACTATGATGAAGACCTATTTATATTGTTTGCTGTAACGATTCAAAGACATTCGTGTCCGACCATCAACTGACGCTCATTATTGATTTTGGGAACTGTACCGGCGCGACGCTTCAATCGCTTCCTTCGCTTACGTCACAAGGGTGACGTCATAACTGGTCGAGGTATAAAATTGAAGGCTCAGTTTGTTTCATCTCATTACACTCCAAGAAACGAGGGGACTATCTGTATATGATTAAAATAGGGCTTGCCCGATTTTGCCAATTAATTGAGACCAGGGAATCACGTCGAGGATCAGTCTCGTAATGGATCAGGTCAGAGCACGAAGATAAGGTATTGAGCTCGAGAATTGAGGTGCTCGTCGAGATCGAGGCCAATATCGGTCGAGACCATATATGAAAAACTTCGAACGAAGCGCACTAACGGAAAGGCGAGATACGTAGCCGGTCAAAGATCACAGCTGAAATATCGGAACAGATTAAATTAAGGGAGGTTGTTTAGGCTAAACATGGGAGTTACTTCTGTAATTAGAGTTATACCATAATTAGGATTCCTCTACTATACAAAGAGAAGTCACATCATTTGTAAGCATTTTTACTTTCACGCAGATCAAAGCAATATAGTATTTTCTCTCTAATTCTCTTGTTCATCAGCTTATTACATTATTACTGATCCTAAACAACTAGCTCGAGGATATTCAAGCTCTAGGGCTAAACTCTGTTCAAACACTGGTTTGCTTTATCTTATTGCCAATTTCCAATACTATTCTTTACATCTATCAACTGGTATTAGGTGAGATTATGTATCCTTAAAACTTTATTATAAGTTTAATTGTTATCCAGTTTTTAGGGTAAACGGTTTGGCGCCCACCATGGGGCTAAGGATAATATTGATTGCCTGGTATTGATTCCCGTAACACACACTACTTTACTCTTATTCTAGTGAGTATTTTTTATTTCAAGGTCAATATGTCTAACTCGCAAGCAGTACCCACTCACGCCGATGATAGACTCGGTTTCCATGGAGAAAATAGTAATGTAGCCATCCCAGGGGTCAAAGTGCCTCTAGCTGGACACGAGGGAGTACCTATCGCAGACCCCGTCGATGTCAGCTCGCATGTCGCCCTAAATACAAATTTGGGTGTCGACCCTGGAATAGTGTTCGCAGAAATGACCGAGCGGCCGATTAGAATGCACAGGCGGTGAAGAAGGCGGGGTTAACCTTCGAGTGATATTCGAAATGTTGCAGACTCGGCAAGCTGCTACACCACAACTCCAAAATCAGAATCGAGCACCAAGCAAAATTGAGCTCGAAACATCACAAGAGGTTGTTAATAGAGTTGAACCTGTACCGGATAAACCGAATGCTAATGAATCAGGGACTGACCCCGCCATTATGATTATGCTTGAAGATCTCACCAAACGGATAGTATCAGGTGAAAAGAAAATCGAGGCTAATGACAAAAAGGTTGAAACATACAACTCACGAGTGGACCAAATACCGGGGTGTTAGTTTGTGTAAGTCCACCAAATAGTAGAGTACCTGGTCTTTTACGGGGTTCTGCTGAGAATGCTAGTAAAGCTGTATGTAAATAAGGCAGAGGATTTTTACGTGGAAAAATACCACACAAGGGGATCATAAAACCACGACCTACACCTGTAGGCTTTTAACTTCACTAACTTGCAATCTCCCTATTACAAGCCACTTTGCAATAACCCTATTGCAAAGACTTCAAGTAACTTGTGATGCTCTCATCACAAGCCACTCTATAACTATCCTAGTTACAAAGGCTTTGACTAACTTGTGATATTTCCACCACAAGCCACTTTGTCACACTACGGTTACAAAGGCTTTTGCTTATGACTAAACCTAGCCACAACATAAACTCAGGGAGTTTACGGATTTACAAAGGTTTCCTAATCAACGCTTCTAAGAAAGCAGGATAGGAGTTACAATGAAGAACGCATAACAAAGACTCAACAAACCTAAGGACTTAAGATATCTTCAATCTTGGATCCGGTCCTTGAGGTTGCTGCAGCTTTGTTCTTGAGAGAGTCTATTGCTAGCACTTGAGAGAAGGTTTTCTTTTCTGATTTTCAAGTGTTCAAGTGATCAAATCCCATGCACCAGGTTGTTATATTACAAAAGACATTACCATGGTGATGTCAATTCACAATGGTGATGTCAAATCTTGGTTAGTACATGCTTTTTCTCAATGGGAAGTGACTGATGCACCGTCTGCTGCACTGTCACATGTACAGTCGCAGGCAGTCACTTTCTGCAGTTGCTTTCCAGCTGTAGTTGACTTATTCTTCTGTTAGAGAACCCTAAGGGATCAGGTCCCTCTTGTGTTCCTCTTTGTACAGTTGCGGACAGTCATTTTCTGCAGTTGCGTTCCAGCTGTATAGTTGACTTGTACTTCTGTCAGAGAACCCTAAGGGACTAGGTCCCTGTTCTGTTCTTCTTTGTACAGTTGCGGACAGTCACTTTCTGCAGTTGCGTTCCAGCTGTATAGTTGACTTGTACTTGAGTCAGGGGAACACCAAGGGATCAAGGTTCCTATGCTGGTTCTTGTGCACACTGCCCAGATTGTCTTGAGTTGGTTAGCTTGAATGATTGTACCAAGCATGTTTCAGGTCCTTTATCTGGTTCTATACAGAAAGTTTGTTAGATCATCAAAACATGGATTAAAAGACCTTAAGCCCATCACGGGGGCACCCTCGATCCTAAAGGGTTTGGATTCGAAGAAGTTCGTGCAGAAGCCTTTCCCTCAAAGTGCGGCTCTGAAGCCCATTCCTAAGAAATTTTGTATGCTAGACATCCCCAAATACAATGGGACCACCAATCCTAATGAACACGTCACTTCTTATACATGCGGAATAAAGGGAAATGACTTAGAAGATGATGAGATTGAATCAGTTATACTGAAGAAATTTGGAAAAATTTTATTGAAAGGTGCCATGATATGGTATCATAACTTACCACCCAACTCTATTGATTCGTTTTCTATACTCGCGGATGTTTTTGTAAAAGCCCACGCCGGAGCCATTAAAGTTGCAACAAGGAAATCAGACCTCTTCAAAGTAAGACAAAAGGATAACGAGATGCTTAGGAATTCGTATCTTGGTTCCAAATGGAACGAATGGATTTGCCTTCAGTCACAGACAACTGGGCTGTTCAAGCTTTTACAAAAAGTCGCAACACTCAAAGCTCCATAGCTTCACAACAGTTAAAGCAAAATTTAATCGAATATCCAGCAATCACTTGGGTCGATGTACACAATCGGTATTAGTCAAAGATTAGGGTCGAAGATGATCAATTGGGAACTCCATTTGGTTTGACTTATCCCAAAAGGTCCGTGGACAGAGTTAAAAGGGATGTCGATGGGGAACCACGATCAGATAGAGACAGTTACCATACATACAGTGGAGATCGGAGAAATAATGGGCTCGGACGCAACCCCGTACGAATTGATAGAAGAAATGATCGGGGACAGAGTTCCCGAGGACTTATGAGCAAGAGCGGTTTCGATAGGGATGCCAGATCCAGGGAAGTACCTCGACTGTCAGAATACAACTTTAGCATCGATGCATCAGGTATTGTATCAGCCATCGGTTGATTAATGACACTAGATGGCCCAGACCCTTATAGACCGATCCAGCTCAAAGGAACACAAATCAAATGTGCAAATACCACGGAACCTATGGTCACAAAACCGAAGACTGCAGACAATTAATGGTGGAGGTAGCTCTTTTATTCAACGAAGGTCATCTTCGAGAGTTCTTGAGTGACCGAGCTAAAAATCACTTCAGAGACAGGGATGTAAACAGGAAAACGAACAGGAGGAACCTCAGCACGTGATTCATATGATCGTTGGTGGGGTCGTTATTCCTCAGGGCCCGACATTCAAATGCACCAAAGTTACATTTTGTTAACGAGCCGCTGATAAGCGGCTCCAGCATTCTTTAGCGCGAAGGGCATCAGATTATAGCAATATGTGCCAAAATTCGTGATCCTTCGGGTTCGTCTTAATTTGGTTGTACCCGGTGTAAGCGTCGAGGAAACTCATTAACTCGTGCCCGGCCTTTGCATCAATTATTTGATCGATGTTTGGCGATGGGAACGACTCTTTCAGGCACGCCTTATTCAAATCCTTTATAATCTACACACACGCGAAATTCATTGTTCTTCTTAGGAACTACTACTACATTAGCTAGCCAGTCCGGATACTTTACCTCTCGGATCGAATCGATGTCAAGTAGGCGAATTACCTCTTCTTTGACGAATTTATTCCTGGACTTCGCAATAGGGCGTTTCTTTTGTCTTATTAGAGGGATGTCAGGATCCAAGCTTAGCTTGTGTACGGTCACTTCCGTCGGGATACCTGTCATGTCCGCATGCGACCACGCAAACAATCGGCATTATATTTAAGAAATTCAATAAAGCCAGACTTGAGCTTGGGGTGTAGTCCTGTCCCCAAGTGGAATTTTCTTTCTAAGAACTTCTCAAACAATGTAACTTGTTCGAGCTCTTCCGCTATGGATTTTGTTGCATCCGTCTCTTCTGGTACCTAGAAATATCTCGGCACCTGATAAGATTTCGATGCTTCTTCCCCTTGCTAACTTCATTCATTTCGGGAGTATGCACTGGTTGTTGTAGTCGCTATTCCGTGTATTCCGCGTGCTCTTTCCCTTTACTACTGGAGACCGATATTGCATTCATCTCTCTTGCTGCCGATTGGTCGCCCCTTATCTATTTGATTCCTTCACGCATTGGGAATTTCAGCAACTGGTGATACGTTGATGGTACAGCTCTCATCTCGTGCAACCATGGTCTTCCCAAAATAATATTATATCCCATATCACCATCTACCACTTCAAAAGGAGTCATCTTCGTCACTCCTTCATCATTCGTGGGCAGCAAGATCTCTCCTCGGGTCGTCACGCTTGCAAGGTTGAATTCGGCGAGGAGTTTTGTGGCCGGAATGATGCTTCCGATGAGTTTAGCTTGTTCCAGTATGCTCCATTGTATGATATTGGCCGAATTTCCTGGATCCACTAGAATGCGTTTAATTTTAAAATCTAATACATTTAAAGAAATTACCAATGCATCGTCGTGTGGTAGCAACAATCCATCTGCGTCCTCCTCCGTGAAAGTAATGACGTCTTCAGCGACTTCCCGTCTCTTGCTGTGGGTTATTGATACCTTCATATTTTTTACCGCCGAGAAGGTGACCCTGTTGATCTTGTTTCCCCCGAAGATCATGTTAATCATCTGGCGGGGGCGGGATCTTCCCCTGCTTTCGAGGATTCTGCGTTATCACGGTTGCGACCATAGTTGTTCTTGGCTCGATCACTTAAGAATTCTCTGAGATGTCCATTCTTCAATAATGTCGCCACTTTTTCATAAATGTCAGCAGTCCCCAGTCCGGTGGCCATTCGTCCTGTGATAATCGCACCACAAATTGGGATCCCTTTGGCTGGGATCAGACCTCATCGGCTTCGGGAACCGTGCTTCTTTAATGTTCCTCATAGCCAATACCAATTCTACTACATTGACGTTGAAGTTGTATTCTGATAGTCTGGGGTAGGAAGGATCCCGCGTACCTGATTTCTCTTTGTCCTGCAACGATCTATTGTTCCGACCGCGATCAGTTTTTTTGTAACGAAAACTAGCCCCTCAAAGATCGTCTATCTGTGTCAAAATCGTCTTTTGATTTTTCTGTGTGCTTCTCCCGTCCTTTTGCCTACGACGAGAAGCCAATCTAATCATCTTCAATCCTTATCTTAGACTCGTACCAGTTGTGAACATCTGCCCAAGTCGTCGCTTGGAACTCGAGCAAGCTTTCATTCAACTTTCGGGAAGCGTCTGAATTTCTCGGATTTAGACCCTTGTGAATGCTTCAGCCGCCCATTCATCCGAGACAACCAGGAGCAACATCCTCTCCTTCTGGAATCGAGTGACAAATTCTCGCAGCAACTCGGACTCTCCTTGTGCAATTTTGAATATGTCGGCCTTCCAGACCTGCACCTTTCTGGCCCCGGCATGAGCCTTAACAAAAGAGTCCGCGAGCATCTCAAAGGAATCTATGGAATGCTCGGGTAACAGTGAATACCACGTCAAGGCTCCCCTCGTGAGAGTCTCTCCAAACTTCTTCAGCAAAACAGATTCAATCTCGTGGGGAGCTAAATCGTTCCCCTTCACCGCCGTTGTATAGGTGGTAATATGCTCTTGAGAGTCTGAAGTTCCATGTTACTTCGGCACGTCGGACATTTTAAACCGCTTCGAGATTAATCCTGGTGTCGCGCTTGGTTTGTACGACAATTGAGTATACTTCTTTGAGTCTGACCCTTTCAGCACCGGTGGTGCGCCCGGAATTTGGTCCTTGCGGGCGTTCACTTCTCTCATAAACTGTAAGAGTTCGCTCTTGAAGGGATCATTCTTGTTGTAAGGACCGGATCTGCTCCCCCAGCCCCATCGGAGCCAACCTCTCCCCTCGGGGTGTTGTTGTCGACCCTCTGCGTTGCTTGATTTGCGGGAGCGCCAGGAGGAACTAGACCTTGTCTATTCCCGTTATTGGAAGCCCCCAATAACGCTTGCTTCAACTCCGTCATAACCTTATCATGTCGTGTTAGGTGGCCTAGAATGATCGCTTGTTTCTCTTGTAGGACCCTTACCGCATCAACAACATGTTCCTCTTCAGCATCATCGAGAGTCGCCTCCCGAACACGTTGCGGATACCACCAGTCATGGACCGACGTGGCACCGTTCCCCTCATTGTGGATGTCACTGACCGAATCCTCATGATGAGGCAGGTCTCCTTGAACCTTAAGATTGTGTGTGTTGTTAACACCATTATCTACCATTTTCTTGTGATTTTTTTGCTATGAAAAATAATCTAAACACATTAGTAAAAGAGGCAAGGATCAACTTAAATACACGACTGTCTAGGCCCCACGGTGGGCGCCAAACTATTTATCCGTAAAACGGTACAGTTGAATTTATACGTGATTTATAGACAAGTAAATTAATTCGATCCTGAAATAAATAAAAATATTTGAAGAAATACACAATACTTAGCCTTGAAATGAAGACAAAATAACAGAAACGGTAATTCCGGGGGCAGGGCTTCCGGGCACAACAGTAATGAAATCAAGGAGTAAGAAAATAAGATTGTGTAAAGCTTTGAATTGATTATAGCATAAGTTTGCCAGCAAATTCGTCCCATTTACAATGATAACAAAGCTCACTATTTATAATTGCACCTAGGAAGCAAGGTCCTGGGATCATGCCCTATCTTTAATGTCAATTATGAGGGTCATTGAAGAGGTATTACGATGAACATAAATGCCTAATTCTCTGCAACGGGCAGTGCACTGAATGTTGTAGAATATTCTTCATTAAATGCTACCGGGTGGTAGGCATTTATTGTATTTTTATGAGCATCATTCTCTCCGGCAGCAAACATAGCAGTTGTCTTCGGTCTTATCTATCCCTGCATTCGGTGGCACGTATCGCACTTTTATGCAATTACTTAACATAGCATATTTTACCCGGTACAATCATACATGCCAATGGGAGTAAAATCTACGACAAGAAAAGTAAAGACAAATAGGTAGGTAGTTTGAGCCTGTCAACCGCAATCCACAAGTTTTTCAAACAAAAAATTCCTGTATCACTTCACGTAAAATACACAAAAATGATATAACCCAAATGGTTAATCTCTCGTTCTGTGAAATAGTTGAGAATTTTCTACTTTACGTTGTTTCTCAATTCCTAGGTACACATTATGATTTGTGAGTCCATAATGCACTATTTTTCTTTGGGCAGGTGAGGAGTGTAATTGAGGTACGAATGCAGGTTGAGTAAATTAATTTTTGCTGTTGGTTTTATTTAGGTTTTCTTACCACGTAAGATTTGAATCTTTTGTTGCAATATTTCAATGGCACTGGCAAATGGCAATTCACAAAGCTGTCTTCTCGATTGCTTCCAAGCCATTCCCCTATTCAGTCACTACCCGCAGATACATTAGTAGTTAGTAAGCTAAACATTTAATTCGGTGATAGAGCTAGAAACATGATTACGATGATCTATTAAAAAAATATAAAAATAATATACCTAAAATTTGAATATTATCAACGGAACTCAACGATTTATAAATGTAATTTTTCTGACGAAAAAATTCAATTGAACCCTCAAGGTAGTTATGCCCTAATTAATTGAGTTCCTAGTTATCACCTTTGTCTTTATTTAACTACCAAATTTCTTCATATGGGTGGCAATCAATATTACAATCTATTGTTGCTCTCTAATAGAGTTCAATAATTGAAAAGTCTTAACATGTCATTTGAATTTGGAAAAGCAAAGCTGGAACAACCCCACAACCACAAGAAAGTCTCAAAAGCATCACCAAGCCTCTCCCCTTCTTCTAATCTACAACTTAAATTACATTTTTAAAAAGGTAACCATAATAATTTATATTTAGGTTCAATAAACAACACTAATTTATACAGCACATGAGTCCATGATCTGTACTTTCCCGTTGGAGGTCATCATTTGAGAGAGAGTATCTATGGACAGTCTTATATACTGTACTTTGTATTGTATCATTGTTCGCAAACAAAAGAATTGCTCGCACTCATATTTTATTCAAATTAATAAATACTACAAGATATATGTTTTTATATATATTTTTATTATTTAATTAGAATAAATTAATACACATTATTATCCGATTTTATTATTTAATTATGATAAATTAATAATTTATTGTAAAATACTTGTAGAAATTTATATTTTCCAACCTTGAAACCCAACCTACCCTGAACACCACCACCACCACCACCACCCCCTTTTTTTTTCGGTGGCCAACACAGAAACGAATTGTCGCAACAAGAAAAATACGAATTTTATAATCCCCGCTAGCAAGACTAGAACGTGACAATCATAACGGTAACCATAATGTTCTCTATAATAAATGATCCGAAACCGGTCTTTAACATGGCCAGAAAGAAATTTTTTTTAAGAAAAAACAGTAATTCCTTAGCTTGTTTCCATTATTTTTCGGAAAAGTATTGTTTTTAAAAAAAGAATATTCGAATTTTTTGTTAGAAGTGTTTAAAATAAAAAAGTAGTACGGGAAAGAAACATTCAAACAAAAAATTTCTAATGTAATTTATCTCTTCACACGAAAAGAAAAATGTAACCAGCTGGGACACCGTCCCTCCTTTCTTCTGTGGTTGAGTTGTCAACAAACTTAAGTCCACTATTTTAAATCAATTTTCTTCTAAACCGACTAACTAAAATTGAAATTTATTTTTCCCCATATTTTGATCCTATAAATAGACTCTCCTCCTTTCCTTTTTCTCAAACGGTACTCAACAAAAGTCATATTCCTCTTTTACTATCTCTTTTGCGCTTTATTCCACTTCTCTTTGCTCCTCGTCCAAACTCCAAAGGCCAGAATGGCGTACTCAAAGATAATCGTTGCTCTAATGTTTACTTTGGTGGTTGGATCTGCATTTGCTCAGGCACCGGGAGCATCTCCGGCAGCTTCTCCGAAGAGTTCTCCACCACCTGTAGCATCGTCACCTCCGGTTGCTACTCCTCCATCTGCAGTAACACCTGTCTCTGCTCCTGCAAATGCTCCTACTACTGCTTCTTCTCCATCTGAATCTCCATTGGCATCTCCTCCAGCTCCACCAACCGTCGGTACCCCGGCATCATCTCCTTCCGGTGGTGCTGCTCCTCCATCCATCAGTGCCTCTCCCAGCGGTTCTCCTACCACATCTCCCAACTCTGCTTCCTTGAACAGAGTTGCCGTCGCCGGATCTGCTGTTGTAGCTATTTTTGCTGCTACTTTGATGCTTTAATTCTCTGATCTGTGAAATATTTTTTGTTATATATTGCCGGAGCCGACGACTTTTATGGACGGCGGTAGTCGTGGCCGCTGTTGATTCTTTCTTACTGCTACTATTTGTTGTCGATTATTACTGGATTCTTTGTTTATTTATGGAGACATGTATTCATCAACTAGTTAATAATTTGTTCTGTTGAAGAGCTTTCATATTTTATTTAATTGGAACGTTTCTATAATTTCAACACGCATAAAACTTACTTCCTCCTCCACGTGTTATAGTTTGACTTTTATGTGTTAGAGTTTGACTTATTGGAGAAAACAGAAAAAAGACTTTGCTAGCGTTTGGCCATAGATTCCAAATTTATTTTGAAAAATCTGATTTGGGTGAAGTTTGGTTTGAAGATGAAAATGTGTTTGGACATACGTTTTCAAAACATATTTTCCAACTTTATTTTGGAAAAACATATATATAATTCCCAAGTTGCTGAATTTTGGCCCAAAATCAACTCAATAGCTGATTTTGGGATTTGAAATTTGGAATTTGGGATTTGGCCAAAATATGAGCAAAATTTATGACCAAACATAAGTTTTGAAAATAAATTCCAAATTTATTTTGGGAAAACACATGACCAAACGGGGCCTTTATGATTTGTAGTCTAAACATATGGAATATACTTGAACTCCATTATCACTTGATTATTTAAAATTATCTGGTAAAGTATCTTTTTATCGTTTGTAATAAAAAAATCATTTATCTATGCATCACTCAATTTTATCTATTTTATCTTTTAAATTATCAACTTTTATTTCACTCTCTCTCAGGGGCGGCTCAACATTGTTGGTGGCCTAAAAGAAAATTTAATGAGAAGCCTTAATTTTTAAAAAAAAAAAAATTATATATTTTTATTTGAAGTATATTTTTCTAACTTTTTGAGATGCAAAATTGTTAATAATTTTCTTATAATTGAGTCATCATAATAAAAAAAATTTCAACTGATAATACTGCTAATCTAATCCAGTTAGCTTCTCGTGAGACATTGTTGATCCTATACAAGATTTTATCAATTTTAATTTGAAAAAACTTCTTTCCCTGATGCAATTGTTATAGTATATTTTATTCTATTAGGAATATAAACATTGGAAAAAAATCAAGTCTTGTTATCTTATTAAGTATGCCGATGAGAGTTTTATCTTCTACTTGTAATATTTTCTTTAATGTAATATAATTTGAAAATAAGCCTAAACTATCATGCCAAAGTGGCTATTATGTTTTAATCAAGGCTAAGTCAATATTTTTTTTCAGATTTCTATCAACTAGTAATCTCAATTTTTACCCACTAAACAAAAAATTAAAAAAATTTGTGTTACGCTTCAGATTATTCAAACTCAAGGGTCAATATCAATAATAAATTAAAATTTTCTTTTCCTTTTCGTAACTTTTTTTTTTTAACTTTAAGATAATTAATTTTTTATATAAAAAAAATTAATTTAAAAATTATTGTCAATTGAAAATGGGACCCCCCAGAATTTGGGGCCCTAAAGCCACTACTTGGGTTGCTTTACCCTTCAGCCGGCATTGCGCTCTCTCTCTCTCTTTTTACTTTTTTTAATATTATGATTTTCTCTTCTTTTTTTAATCTACATTATGAAATTACCTATGGAACAGATAATTTTTATTTATAAAAAAATGGAAAATTAATTTTCTAGCATATATAATATCAGAATAATAAATTCATTGAACATAATTTTCAATAATATATAATGTATATCATAAAAATACCTTTATTTTAAATAATTAATTTTTTATATTACGTGCATAGAATATATATTATAAAATTTTATTTTTTTTCATTGTGTAAATAAAAAAAATTTATATTATAAAATTTCTCTCAATTGTGTAAATAATTTTTGAGTTTTTGTTGTTAATATCCAAATTATTATAACAAATTGTTCTAATTAAACTTTTTAACTATGCTCATTATTTTATTATTCCGATATTATTTATATGCTTAAATACTATTTTCTAATTTATAAATAAAAATATTTGTTCTATAGGCAAATCAATAATATAAATTAAAAGAGAAAAAATTATAATATTAAAGAGTTAAAAAATAAAAAGAAGACAAAAGTTAATAATTTAAAGGGTAAGTGACCTTCTGAGTGATATAGGTATAGTTCAGTGACATTATTATTACAAACGAAAAAAAAATGACTTTAAAATGTAATTTCGGGTAGTCGAGTGACCATTTGAGTAATGAACTCTAAATACTTGTGTACATATAAATAATTTTGTTGAGAATAAAATAAAAAGTCTAAAGATAAATATTTATAAATATAAAATTAATTATTCACGAAAAATTGTACTACATAAATTAGGAAGCTAGTCGCTAGAAGTAATAAAGTAGTTGCAGTAACTCATATGTGAAAATTGCTAGATAAAAGAAACCAGGACACTGATATGAGGGGTGAACCTGGCCGAAGGTGACCTGGTACCTCTTGCAAAAGTCGACAATGAATGGGTCGAGAGGACCCAATATGAAGGGGTACGTGTAGACACTTAGAAACCCCTCCACATAGGTGGTAATGCTCTCTTCAGGAGCGGGGATTTGTACCGTGACCTCGGCCCCCCAGTTACAATCTCTCTTCACAGTCTTGAGACGGCCTGCCGCTATCGAGCAGATGTATCTCGACAAGTGTTCACATCGGCCAGGGATCGATGGAGGGTTCTCGACTTTAAAGTCGGATTTTAAGACACAAGGGCCGGGAACATACTCGTGAGGGAGCGGCTCCACCAACGTTTTGTCACCGGCCGGCCGTGAAGAAGAGGAAGAAGATTTCTCCTTTTGTGGAATAGTCTTGAAGGTCTTCGCCATTGATTCAGGTAGAAGGTACTCTCTCCATCTCTTCTCTTTCACCGCCCATTGAGTCAACTTTGTTAGTATCAAAAGTACCAAATTTCACCTCTTTCATTCTTTGATCGGGATAGAAACGTCACGTCAAAGAGCTAGGACGTTGAGTACGGATCGAGGTAGACCTCGAATGCAACCAGAAAGAGGCAGACTTCGAGTGACATCGGCGTAGCTCGATAACGGAAAAGCGAGATATCCGCAATTTATCGAGGATCGTGGCGTGAATCTCGGAACGGATCAATTTACAATGGTTAATTAGATGTTAATATGATTTCCTACTATAATTAGAAGTGTACCTTATTTAGGACTCTTCTATTATATAAAGAGGGATCCCATTCATTTGTAAGCATGATTGTTCACTAATAAGTATATATACACTTATTACTTTCTTGCTATTTCACTTACTGTTCATCAGAGTTGATTATTATTTACTATTATTCCACCTCGAGTCTATCCCAAGTCGAGGTCGAGATCTGGCTAGCTTACTGGTTTGATTTATTTTATTCTCTAATTTATTGATTTATTTCTTGCTTATCAATTACTATTGGACGAAATCATGTATCCTTTAAATCACAATATAAGTTTAATTGTTATCCGAATTTGAGGGTAAACACCATTAGAGGTCATCATTTGAGAGAGAGTCTCTCTGGACAGTCTTGTGTACTTGTATTGTATCATCGTATGTTCGCAAACAAAAGAATTACTCCTACTCGTATTTTATTCAAATTGATAAATACAAGATATATATTTTACATAATATTGGAGTATAATTTAATTATAATTAATAAATATACATTATCATCTGATTTTATTATTAAACTACAAGAAATTAATACTATTATTTATTTTAAAATACTTATGCAGATAAAATTTTCCAACCTTGAAACCCAAGCTACCCCCCCCCCCCCCCTTTTCTTTTTCCGTGGCCAACATAAAACGAATTTTTTAGTTCCCGCTATCAGAGGACTAGAACGTGCCAATCATAACGGTAACCATAATGTTTGCTATAAAAGATCCAAACGGTAGTTAACATGGCAGAAAGAAATTAAAAACAAAAACATTAATTCTTAGCTTGCTTCCATTATTTTTGGGGAAAGTATTGTTTTTAAAAAAGAATCTTCGATCTTTTTTTTAGAAGTATTAAAGATAAAAAGTAGTACTGGAAAGAAACATTCAAACAAAAAATTTCTAATGTAATTTATCTCTTCACACGGAAAGAAAAAAATGTAACCCAGCTGGGACACCGCCCCTGCTTTCTTCTGTGGTTGAGTTGTCAACAAATTATAAGTCCAGTCTAGAGTCCTTATTTAAATAATAAATAATTTTCTTCTAAACCGACTAACTAAAATTAAAATTACTTTCCCCCATATTTCCCTCCTATAAATAGACTCTCTTCCCGTCCTTTTTCTCAAATGCTACTCAACAACAGTCATATTCCTCTTTTATATCTTTTGCGCTTTATTCCACTTCTCTTTCTCGAAAAAGCTCATCGTCTAAAGGCTAGAATGGCACTCTCAAAGGTAATCGTTGCTCTAATGTTGGCTTTGGTGGTTGGATCTGCATTTGCTCAGGCACCAGGAGCATCTCCGGCAGCTTCTCCGAAGAGTTCTCTACCACCGGTAGCATCGTCGCCTCCAGTGGCGACTCCTCCATCTGCAGTAACACCTGTCTCTGCTCCTACAAATGCTCCTACTACTGCTTCTTCTCCATCTGAATCTCCATTGGCATCTCCTCCAGCTCCACCAACCGTCGATACTCCGGCATCATCTCCTTCCGGTGGTGCTGCTCCTCCATCCATCAGTGCCTCTCCCAGCGGTTCTCCTACCTCATCTCCCAACTCTGCTTCCTTGAACAGAGTTGCCGTCGCCGGATTTGCTGTTGTAGCTATTTTTGCTGCTACTTTGATGCTTTAATTCTCTGATCTGGAGCCTTGTATGACAAGAAAGTGCCAACGAAACTCAAAGGTAGGTTCTATAGAGCGGTGTTAGACCGACCATGTTGTATGGGGCTGAGTGTTAGAAAGCCAAGAATTCTCATACCCAAAAGATGAAAGTGGCAGAAATGAAGATGTTGAAATGGATGTGCGGGCACACTTGGATAAGATTAGAAATGTAGATATTAGGGAGAAGGTGGGTGTGGCTCCCATGGACGACAAGATGCGGGAAGCAAGGATTAGATACTTCAGGCACGTGTGGAGGAGAAGCATAGATGTCACGATTAGGAGGTGTGAGCGGTTAGCATTGGAAGGTACGAGGATAGGTAGAGGACGTCCTAAGAAGTATTGGGGTGAGGTGATCAGGCAGGACATGGTGTGACTACAGATTTCCGAGGACATGGCTCTGGATAGGAAGGGGTGAAGGTCGAGCATTAGGGTTGTATGTTAGGAGGGAGTTGAGCATTTTTTTTCTTTGTTGTTCTGGGGACGGGGCTGGCCTGTTTATATAGTTTCCTCACTATTTCCTAGTGTAGTATTGTTGTTTATTGTTTTTGCTTTCACATTTATTTTTCTATTTCTTACGATGTTGTTACTATTTTTATAGCTTCTATTGATGTCACTGGTCTATTGTCTATTGTTTATTTTCTTCTTCTCGAGTCGAGGGTCTTTCGGAAACAATCTCTCTTCCCCTCTGGGAGTAGGGGTAAGGCCTGCGTACATTCAACCCTCCCAGATCCCACTTGTGAAATTTTACTGAGTAGTTGTTGTTGTTGTTGTTGCCATTTGTGGGCGGCAAGACTAGGAGCTCATGAAGACCCCCGTATGCGATTTCAGGATTTAAATTTTATAGATTTTGAAGTTTATTATATATGCATATTCAGTAAATTTCTAAATAAATATATAACTTTTGAATCAAATTACTAGATTGTGCCGAACCCGTACGTTCCCTGTCAGCTCTACCCCTGGAAGCTCATGTCTCTATATAGTATTCGTCCATCCTAATTTTTTTTCATGTTCTATTTTACGTCATGTTATTTATTTGGGCATTGAGTTTAAGAAAAAAATTAAGAGTTCTGAAACTTGTATTCTAAAACAAATAGATAATTTTTAAGGTTATAAATTATCTAACTATGCTAAATAAAAAAGTTTAGTTAAATTATAAATATTTAAATATATATAAAAAAAATAAAAAAAATACATCACATAAATTAGTATAGAGCGAGTAGTAATTTCCTATCTGGTATCGACTTTTTTCGATTGTGTGGAACTTTGTATTTTTTGAGTGGATAAAATGTACTTGCATTCTCACTAGAAGCAGTTTCAAGTACCTTGAGTCGGTTATCCAGTGGGATGGGGAGATCGACGAAGATGTCACACACCGTATTGGGCTAGGGTAGATGAGGTGGAGGTTAGCATCTAGAGTCATGTGTGACAAGAAAGTGCCACCGTTACTCAAAGTTAAGAGCCCGTTTGGATTAGCTGATTGTAAATACTTGATAAGTTTGAAGTGCTGAAAAGCATTTTTAAGTGATGGTTCCGGCATGTGCAGAGGAGAAGTCCAGATGCACCGGTGAGGAGGTGTGAGCGGCTGGCTTTGGAAGGCATGAGAAGTGGTAGGGGGCGGCCTAGGAAGTATTGGGGAGAGGTGATCAGGTAGGACATGGCGCAACTTCAGATTTTTGAAAATATGACCCTTGATAGGAAGTTGTGGAGGTTGAGTATTAGGGTTGTAAGGTAGGGTCGTAACTATATGAGGCTAGTCTGATATGATTTTTGTCTTGGACTGCTAGTAGTTAGTGTTGTGTTCTCACTACTCTTTCGTTCTATAGTCCCGGTTCTATTTACTGATTATTGCTAATTATTTTCATCTATTTTCTGGCTTTTATGATGCTGTATTATTCCTTTGGTTTCTGTTGATGGTACTGATATATTGTCTCTTTTCGTCTTCTTGAGCTGAGGGTCTTTCGGAAATAACCTCTCTACTCCTTCGAGTAGGGGTAAGGTCTGTGTACACGCTATCTTCTCCAAACCCCACTAATAAAGTTTTACTAGGTCGTTATTGTTTCATTTGTTGTTATTCAAAATTAATAAATACTCGGTATGTGTTTTCACATCCATTTTTTCACTAAATTGTAGTACTAAAGTAATAGACTTTTTTACCCCATTTTGTTAATCAATCATGATGAGTAGATAAGTTAGAGAATTATAAGAAAAAGTTAAATACTCCCTATTTCAATTTAGATAACACACTTTTTTTATTATTTTATTTCAAAAAGAATAATATATTTTACAATTGAAAATAATTCAGTTTAAACTCTTCATTTTACCCGTAATGAGAGGCTTTTAAGCTTACAAAGATTTTACCATTAAGCTGTTAAGATCACAAGTTTCAAAAATTTTTTTTTTCTTAAATTCTGTATCAAATCAAACTACCTCATTTAAATTAAAACGGATGATGAATAATTTAATTAAATGCTAATGCGAAAAGACATTTTCTGACCCCTCAAACCAGCATCTCAAACCAGCATCTCAAACCAGCATCCCCTGCTTTTTAGGTGGCAAACACAAAAACGAATACTATAATCCCCGCTAACGAGACTAGAACGTGCCAATCATACTGGTCCCTATAATGTTTGCTAAATTGCTTATTTCCTCTATTTTAATTTAGATGACACACTTTTTTTATTAATTCATTTAAAAAAAATATATATATTTGTAATTAAAAATAATTCAATTTTAAACTCTTTATTTTATTTATTTTTGCCCTTAATGAGAAGATTGTATAACCACACAATGTCATGACTCCACAAAGCTTTTACCCCTTAAGCTTTTAAGATTACAAATTTCAAAAGTCTTCTTCTTTTTTCTTTAACTTAGTGTAAGGTCAAACTAACTCATCTAAATTGAAATGAATAGATAATAATTTAATGATCCAACGGTCATTTCATAGCTTGTTTATTATAATTTTTTCGCAAAAGTTTTTAGAAAAAGCTTCTTCGAATTCTTTATAAGAATTACCTCAAATCTATCTATATAGAATAGGAGAAGCAAAAGCACTACATTGAGACAATTGTCTTAACCACAAAAAACTAAGTGGCATTGTTAAGACAAATAAACTACTTTTCTAACTACTTTTGTTTTTGAATTTTAAATTTTAAATTAATTGGTTACACTACTTGAGTTAAAATAAATATAGATATCTTATAATTACCAATAAAAAAACAAAATACGAAAAAAAATATTCTACTCATTCAAATTGGAGTTTTAAAATTATTTTACAATAAAAAACAAAAATCAAACTACTAATTCAAATTGGAGAGTAATTTCTTCCTAATATAGTAGTTGTAGTGTGTGTTGTGTGTATATATATGGGAGTAGTTATTATACTAAATTCGTAATTTAATAATAATTCATACGTCAATTTAACAATATTAAGTGATGGATAATATAATTACATAAGCAAGGAACAAATATATATATATATATATATATATATATATATATATATATATTTATAAAATAGTTAGTATTATTATGAGAAAAGTCATACATATACACATAACTAAAATCATAATAAATAAATAGTCATAAATGAAGAATACCAAAAAAAAGAGCAAATGATATCATAAAAATACATATACTAATTAAATTTCTCATGTAGGAAAATTTAGTTAATAAATAGAACTCATAATTTCATAATAAAAGGCTTATCTCTTTATACTTTAGATGAATTCAAAATTATAATTTAATAAAAAAATTATATTATTTAAATTTTCAGTAAATATAAAATGAGAAAATTAATCATATATTATAGTAGAAATGAATGTACGAAAAGAGGTGGATAAAGATAATTTTATAATTTGAATTAATTAATAAACAATAAATAAATAAATAAATAAATAAATAACACTCAAGAAAATTATAGATAAATTTAGACAATTGAAGAATTTTAAACAGCATAACATAAGCATAAAAATATATATTTTCATAATAAGAAAATATATACGTATGTTCTTTTAGAAGAGAAGTAGTATCAAAATATTAAGACAATTGATAAATTAATAAAATATCACATTAGTAAATATGTAGTACTAAGTACTTGCTAATTTAATAAAGAATAAACAAGGAATAAATAATTTATTTGATTACTATAATGCTTTGTATCCTTTGATTTTGTATAGATTTTATTATATTTATATACACTACATTAAATAATAAATAGTAACTAATATTTATTAAAATAATATGATATATTAAATTATAATTTTTTATAAGATTAATATTCCGTCAAATCGCATCGCGGGTTCTAACGCTAGTTTTAAATAATAACAAAGAAACATTCAAACAAAACTTTTCCAGAGAAATTTAGGTCTTCACGCGGAAAGAAAAATGTTAACCAGCGGTCACATTCCCCTTTCTTCTTCTGTCGTTGAGTTGTCCACTAATTACTGGAGTAGCATATTTTAAATCTAATTTTCCAAACCAACTCACTAAAATTAGAAATTTCCCTCCTATATATACAACTCTTTTCCTGTCCTTTTCATCCAAACGATACTCAACAAAACTCATATTTTCTCTTCCTTTTGTGCATATTTCACTTTTCTTATTTCTTCAAATTTTTTCGTCCTAAAGGTTAGAATGGCATACTCAAAAGTGATCATTGCTATAATGTTCGCATTAGTAGCTGGATCTGCTTTCTCTCAGGCACCAGGAGCATCTCCAGCAGCTTCTCCAAAGAGTTCTCCACCGCCGGTAGCATCACCGCCTACGGCGACTCCTCCTCCTTCTACAGCAACACCTATCTCCGCTCCTGCAAATGCTCCTACTACTGCATCTTCTCCATCTGAATCTCCGTTGGCATCTCCACCAGCTCCACCAACTGTAGATACTCCGGCATCATCTCCTTCTGGCGCTTCTCCTCCATCTATCGCCGCCGCTCCCGGTGGTTCTCCTACTTCCTCTCCTAACTCTGCTTCCTTGAACAGAGTCGCCGTTGCAGCATCTGCTGTTGTAGCTGTCTTTGCTGCTTCTTTCATTCTTTAAATCTCTGATTCGTGAGATATTTTGTGTTTTCATTCGCCGGAGTTGATGAGTTAGGATTTATTTTATGGTTTATTTTATTTCCACGGTTTTTTTATTCTTTTTAGTTTTTACTTTTACGTGCGACGCTAGTCGTGATCGCTGTTGATATAGCCGATATTTGTTTCTTTCTCGTGTTGTAAATTAGTTGATGATGACGCCCAATTTTAGTCTTAAAAAAGATAAGCAGTCGTTATAAATATAATCCGGTCAAGAATTTAAGCTGGAACAATTCCTAAATTATAAATATTAAGATTCCTATTTTAACCTTATTAATTAACAAATTAAATGAGTGAAATTAACAACTAAAGATACTAAGGGTTAGAGACAAGATTAATGAGGCCTATAGTTATGATTTTCCCAATTGTCGGAATCCTTCCCGCTACGTCTCCTATAATTTCGCGTAATTATTCTCTACTGATCATGAGCAATCGACCTATCGTAATTCTCTCTCGAGCAACTACAATAATTTACTAGTCATATTCTCTCGAATTACGCTAGCTCGCACTTTTCGCCGCTCACTATGATCACGTTAAAGCCTCGTTATCTCTAATCGCGCTTTTAAATCCACCATATTGATCTCTCATATACCTTGGGAGTGACATTATTCAACAACAAATCTCAAGCAATACATAATAAATAGGCACAATCAATTGAGAGCTCTTCAATTAACTAAAATAAGCACGTAGTTGAACAAGTAGGGATATTAAAAGGCAAAATTATATTAAAACGTAACAAGAATTCATCCCCCAAAAGGTTCCATCAAAACTCTAGATAATAAATCAGTTATTCGTAATAGTATATAAAACTACAATACTAAAAGTCATAACCAACAATGAAAAGTAGGAAGAAGAAGGGGCAAAATTCGTGGTTGAATCTTCCTCCTTGCTCCTAACGTGATCTCGTCTCCTTGGGTGTTGTCTTACCCTAAAGTAGTGTCTCCCTCCTCAAAAGGACGTTTTATGATGTATTTATATCAATTAGGGTTGATATGGGGCGTCCTTGATCTCTCCTAATTAGAAAAAGGACACGCTGAGTCGCGTGCCAGAGTTGGTGCAACGCGCGACTTCTGGCATGCTCCTAGTTATTTCTTCTTTTTCTTTGTTCTTTCGCGTGCCAGGTCCAGTGCCAACCTCCATACTTCGCTGTTTTTTATTTATTCTCTAAGCCATTTCGCACCTACTTTCACGCAATTCGCCAATTGTGGCACGCTCCCAAGTCTTGCATCTCTACTCTTTTTTGCATCAAATCATCCAATAGTACCAACTTTCATCCAAATTCATTTCTATACATAATAAATATGTAATGAGTATATTATATGCTTATAAACATGTTATTTTCCGCAGCTCACATAAGAAATAATATACAAACATATTCAAAAACATGCATTTTTCATCATTTATCAGTTGAGAATTTTCAAATTTATGGTGCTTCTCAACTCCTACGTACATTAAGATTTGTGAGCCTACTTTACTCCATTCTTTTTTCTTAAAAGAAACCAATCTCTCTGTAAGTACAAGGCAAAGAAGTAGAAAGAAAAAAGAAATTCAAGTGGACCAATATTTTTCTCTGGCCAGGTAAGGAGTGCGATTGAAGTATGAATGCAGTTTGAGTAATTTTGCTATTGATTTTTTTTCGAGTTTCCTTACCATTAAAGATCTAAATCTTGTATTGCAATCTTCAATCACACTAGCAAATGGTCACAAAGTCACTTCTCTATTGCTTCCAAGCCATTTCCCTTGTTCACGCACCACCTCCAGATACATTAATTAGTTTAGTGGTGGAATCAGAAATTTGAATAAGGTGGTTAAAAAAAAGTGAAAAATACACCTAAGATTTGAACCTATGTAAAAAGTTAAACAATTTGTATATATACAAAAAAAAAAAAAAAAAAAAAAAAATGTTTTCAACCTTTTCCACAGAGTAATTTTTCAACGGCAGAGGATTCAGTTGAACTCTTTCTAAAGGTAGTTATGCCCCTGATTGAGTTTCCAATCTACTTTATCCTTATTTAATTGCAATAATTTCAAATTTTCAAAGAATTGAAAGAAAGAATTCATTTTATCACAAAATATATTTTTCAAAAGGCTGGCAAATCAATATTACAATCTATTTTTGCTCTCTAATAGAGTTCAATAATTGGAAAATCTTAACATGTCATTTGAATTTGGAAAAGCAAAGCTGGAATTACCCCACAAGCACAAGAAAGTCTCAAGAGCATCACCAACCCTCTCCCCTTCTTCTAATGTACATCTCAAATTACATTTTTGAAAAAGGTAACCATAATAATTTAGGTTCAATAAACAACAGGAATTTATACAGCACATGAATCCATGTTCTGTAGTTTCCCGTTGGAGGTCATCATTTGTGAGATAAAGAGTACTCTTTCTCGACAATCTTGCGTTGTATGTGTTGGATTTTGTTGTTTAATAACAAAAGAAGTGTGAATGGAAAATGGTGGAAAAAGAAATGGAGGGAAGTAAAATTTTGAATGAGTTCACTAATGTACTTTGTCCCTCATTGGTAGAAAGAAAGAAAATCTTTGTGTATATAAAGAGAAGCTCATCTTTTAGCTCTTAAAGAGCTAAGAAGAAGGCAAGCCTCGCGCCGTCGTCGCTCGCTCGGCTTCGGATTTGTCAACGATTGATTGATTAATCTTTTTCGACAAAATTCTTTTCAAATATTTAATTAATTAATTAAAGAAAATTCAATTCGGAATAACCCATGACCCGCGACCCGGTCCGGTCCGGTCCGTTTTTCTTTCCCGGATTATTTTAAATCCGTTTTTACATTTCCCGCAATATTTTCAACAGTTATGGCTGTTCTAAAACAATGTCACACCTGTTCCAACAGTCATGGCTGTTCTGAAAGGTTGCAAACCTTTGCAGAAACAGTACCAAATTGGCTATAAATATTCCTTCAAATCCCAGAATATTTACTTATGAAAGTTTCTGATAATCTTCTTCTTCTTCTGCACAAAAATTCCAGTGTGTTTTACAGCCTTCGAGTGGTTCGCTGTTCATCGGCGTTTTTTGTACCAATACTCCGGCGAGTTAAATCGTTCTACCTTGGGAGGATATATTCCAGAACCTCGGGTACTTGAGGGGAATAATTTCCTTAAGGACACACTGTATATTCAGTGGGCTCGATTTGTTCCTATACCATTTTCGAAATTTATTTTGAAGTTCAAATACTATTTTTCAGAATTTATTTCTACTAACTTTTTGTTTCTGTTTTCAGAAAGATTATTATTTTTTTATTTATTTACAGCAATACAGATTAATAACAATCTTAAGGAAATTATTCTTTTATTATATTCTGTATTCTGTCTGCATTTTACTATTCTGATTTGAAGATATAAAAACTTCATCAGAGTATTGAAATTCAGAAAACGATTTGAAGAACATAAAAACTTCATTGTTTTTCTGTAGAACAGTATGTAAAAACTTCAGTTGTTTTTATTACGTACTGTTTATTGATTACAGTATTATTTACTGTTCTGGTTTTGCCATTAATTGATCTCTTCTGTTGCTGACAGTAAGAAATGGCAAATAAAAACGGAAATCCTTCTGCGACTATTGGTGCAACGACGATAGCCTCGTCAAGCCGCACTGTTGTTCCTCCGACCGAGAAACCGGAGAAATTTTCTGGAACCAACTTCAAAGGATGGCAGCAAAGAGTGTTCTTCTGGCTTACCACACTTGGTATGCAAAAATTCACTAGTGAAGAGCCTCCTGTGCCTGTTGCGGACATGCCGGACAATGAAAAGTTCATGGTTGTTGAGGCGTGGAAGCAGGCAGATTTTCTTCGCAAAGGCTATATCTTAAGTGCTTTAGAGGATGACTTGTACAATATTTACAGTGCAATGAATACTTCGAAAGAATTATGGGATGCACTTGAGAAGAAGTACAAGACAGAAGATGCATGCTTGAAGAAGTTCGTGGTTGCCAAGTTTCTAGACTATAAAATGATAGACAGCAAAACTGTGGGAACCCAAGTTTAGGAGCTTCAACTTATTTTTCACGGCCTTATTGCTGAAGGTATGGTCGTGAATGAAGCATTTCAAGTAGCTGCTATGATTGAAAAATGGCCTCCTTCGTGGAGAGATTTCAAGAATTTACTAGAAGCACAAGCGCAAAGAAATGAAGTTGGAAGATCTTGTGATACGTCTAAAGATCGAGGAAGACAACAAAATAGCCGAGAAGAAGTCTCGTGGAAATTCAACGATCATGGGAGCTAATATCGTTGAAGAGACTGCTCCAAAAAGTAAGAAGAGGAAGAGGTCTTCTGGACAAACTAAGGAGCAGAACAAAAAGAAATTCAAGGGCAGCTGCTACAATTGTGGAAAGGTTGGTCAGAAAAGCCCTGATTGTCGTCTCCCGAAAAAGGATAATAAGAAGGGACAAGCCAACATAATGGAGAAGAATGATGACATTAATGATCTTTGCGCAATGATTTCGGAATGCAACCTAGTTGGAAATCCGAAGGAGTGGTCGATTGACTCTGGAGCCACTCGACATGTTTGTGCTGTCAAAGAAGCATTTGCGACTTACTCTACTGCTGGTCCCGAAGAAGAAATTTCCATGGGAAATAATGCAACAGCCAAGATTGAAGGTTATGGGAAGATATTCCTGAAGATGACTTTCGGCAAGGTGTTAACGCTCAACAACGTTCTTCATGTTCCTACTATTAGGAAGAATTTAGTTTCTACTTCTTTACTTGTAAAGAATGGATTCAAATGTGTATTTGTTTTTGATAAAGTTGTTGTAAGCAAGAACGAAATGTATGTAGGAAAAGGCTACCTCACGGAGGGCCTTTTCAAACTCAATATAAGGTTGCTGACAGTATGAATAAAATTTTAGCTTCTTCTTATTTATTGGAGTCAAATGATTTATGGCATATTCGTTTAGGACATGTCAATTATAAAACCTCGCGGAAGTTAATTAATTTAGAAATATTGCCTAAATTCGAGTGTAATGAATCAAAATGTCAAATATGTGTTGAATCTAAGTTTGTAAAACATCCTTATAAGTCTGTTGAAAGGAATTCAAATCCTTTAGACTTAATTCATACTGACATTTGCGATATGAAGTCGACACCATCTCGAGGTGGAAAAAAGTACTTTATTACTTTTATTGACGATTGCACTAGATATTGTTATG